TACGAACAGAATCTGAAGCCCTCTTCTGACCTCCGTGGCATTGCATGGCATGGGTGCACTCACATACATGCAGGCAATACACTCATACACATAAAATAAAAATAACAAATAAAATAATTTTTTAAAAATCAGATGGACAGTGAATAGTTTAGGCTGGGATCACAGGCATGGATTACCATGGCCTCTTGTCACATTTAAAAAAATATTCGTTGGGCCAGGTGTGGTGGCCCACGCTTTTAGTCCCAGCACTTGGGAGGCTGAGGCAGGCAGATCTCTGTGAGTTCAAGGCCAGCCTGGTCTATATAGTAAGTTCCAGGCCAGCTGGGGCTACAGGGAGATCCTGTCTCAAAAAAAAGAAAAAGACCAAAAAAAAAAAAAATTCAGGGGGCTGAAGAGATGGCTCAGCAGCTAAGAACACTGACTGTTCTTGCAGGAGACCTGGGTTTGAATCCTAGCACCCACATGGCAGCTAACAACTGTCCATAACTCCAGTTCCAGGGGATCCAACAGTGTCTTCTGTCCTCCACAGGAATTGCATGGCACGGGTGCACTTACCTACATGCAGGCAATACACACATACACATAAAATAAAAATAATAAAATATAATAAAAAATATTCGGGGGGGCACTGTATGGGCTTGTGTGCCATGGCACACATAGAGGTCATGGAACAATCTGCAAGAGTTTGTTCTCTCCTTCCACCATGTGGTTCCTGGGGAACAAATTTAGGCTGTAGGGTTGGTAGCAGATATCTTTATGTCTTCACTCACCAAATCATCTTGCTGGCTTTTCCCCGACTTGAGCTAGGGTCTTGCATCATCCAGGATGGCCTGGAACTCATATGTAATCAAGGAGTACCCTGAACTTCTAATCCTCCTGACTCTACCACCTGAGTGCTGGGATTACAGGTAACAAGGCAGTTGAGCAGATAAAGGTAACAAGCTTGAGGACCTGAGTTTGATCCTCAGGACCCACCTAGGGGAAGGGGAGCACTGAGTCCCACAAGTTGTCCTCAGATTGCCACACAGGCACCATGGCACACACCTACACACACACATTTTAAAAATAAAAAAGGGGGCTGAAGAGATAGCTCAGCGGTTAAGAATACTGTTCTTGCAGAAGACCCGGGTTCGAATCCCAGCACCCACATTGCAGCTAACAACTGTCTGTAACTCCAGTTCCAGGGGATCCAACAGCCTCTTCTGTCCTCCGCGGGCATTGCACGGCATGGGTGCACTTATCTACATGCAGGCAATACACACATACACATAACATAAAAATAATAAAAATAAAATCTTTTTTAAAAAATCATATCCATAAATTTATTACAAGGAGTCTGGTTAGACATTATAACACTTTT